CCCCCCCCCCCCCCCCGGCCCCCGCCTCTCTCACCTCTCCTTTTGCCCCGTTGCAACCCGCCTGTTGAACCTGTTGGCAGAGGGAGCAGGATGAGGCCTTCAAATGGGTAGGCAGAGTGTCAGTGAGCGTAGAAATGGGTGTGAGGTGATGTGGTGGAACTCCAAGGACTCCCCATCCCTGCTTCTTCAAGAGCTTGACCGGGTCTTGAGAGCCCTTGGGGAGGTTATTCTAAGCGTCAGGAATGAAGGAATGGCACTTCTGTAGGGGGCACCTAAAAATTTAATTAAAAAAGTAAGTACGTAACGTTGTTGGCATGTAGGGCTTTCTCTCCAGGGTGGGGTGCCATTCCACCGCTTCTACTGGCAGGACTGGTGCACGGGGGGCTTGGGGCAGGCTGTTCCCCCTTTCCCAGAGCTCGTGCCTTTTCTCAGTTCCCGCCCGCTGAACAGGAGCTCTTGAGTGTGCAGGCAGCCTGTGGGAGACTCCAGTTTTAATCCTACCTGCATCCCCACAGTCCCTGTCAGAGAAAGCTCTGCGGCTTATAAGAGCAAAGGCTTGCCCGTGTCCCTTCTTCCAACGGGCTCGACCTCTCTTCTCCCCTCTGCGGGCACAGGACCTTGTGAAAGAAAGGGTCAGCATGTCTGCAGATGCTTCGGATGTGGTGTGCTGGAGTGCCCTTTGCGAGACGCTGACTGGCAGAGTGAGTAGAACTTAATTGGGGGGAACTGCCCAGTGAGCAGCAAGTTTCCTCTGCTGTGGCCCTCGATGATGGATCACTGGAGGGGGAGCCGGTCTCTGAGCAAGCCAGGAGCCAGAGTCGGGGCCCTGCGGCTCAGAAAGATTTCCAAGGGAAATCGACTGCCTGGGTGGGATGGGTAAGAGGAAATCCTCTCCCTGAAGCCCCAGATGTGGCATCAGGCATCACTCTGTGCTAGCGTAGTATCGGCTAGCCTTAGTGGCAGGAAAACCGAGCCTTGGCACGATGGTAGCAATCCAGCCAATGCGCAGGTGAGTCGGATTTGGATCCTTGGATAAATTTGGTCCATTTGACTCACTTGGGAAGGCAAAGCTAAGCAAGAATCGGGTGGATCTGGAGGCCAGGACCTCCCTAGCTGGTGGGGAGGAAGGTGGCGGGGGGGGCGGTCCCTGCACTGAGCTTCTCCCCAGCCCTGCTGGTGCCCCAAGAGCTGAGCAGCAGAAGTGCCCCTTTGCAGGAGCCTCCTGCCTGTGAGGCACAGCTGCCTTCCCACCCTGTGCTGGCATTTCAGGGCACCGAGGAAGAGGAAGAGGAAGAAGGGGGCAGAGAGAAGACGTCCCGGGAGATTCTGGCTGTTTTGGGCCAACTGCCTGAGAAGCATGAAGCTCTCCTGAAGCACATGACTCAACTGGAGGCCCAGTTGAAGTACCCAGGAGGTGAGGCTGACAAGCAGGATAGGGTGCTCGGTGGGCCCGGAATTGCCACTCTGGGTCCTCCATCAGCTGCTACACCCTGTGGGGAGAATTGGGATGATGTCCAGCTGGGGTTGCTGTCTTCTGGCCCTCAGAATGAGGCCCTCTGCCTGCCTTGAGGTCCTGAGGACAAGGATCGGCAGCTGGGGTCAGGTGGGGCCCTGTCTCCAGCTCAGAGATACCTTTGGGACCCTAGTCTCAAACCCCAGGCTGGTTAAGCTTGGGCAATTCTAGCACAAATCTTTCCCCCCCCCCCATTTCTTACCTCAGTTTTTGAAATCCCCCCTGAGCTGAAGTCGCTGCTGGAACGGATGGAGATGTTGCAAACTCAGAGCAAGCAGGTGCCTTGGCGAGTACAGTCTGGTAGGGGATGGGCGTGGGTTGCCCTGCAAGAATATAGTTCCACAAACATCTGAAGCCAAACTGCACCCAAGAGGGATCAGTCGGTCTGAGGAACCACAAGATTTGCAGGATAGTAGAAGTTCAGGGGCAAAATGTTAAGAGGGCAAATCTCATCTGGTAGCCTGGACATACTCAACAGCCCATTGCCACTGGGGCGGGGGGGCAGCTTGTCAGAGGTGGCAGTCCAGTGGGGAAGAAGTTCTGTGTTGAAGCCACCCTTGCTCGTGGCAGCAGACAGACGTGAAAGCACATTCAGAAACCTGCCTGTGTGAAGCACCTGGCCAGACAGGTCGAGGCCTTGATTCTCCTGAGTGCGAAGGGCTTTGCAGCCTGTTGATGAACGCAGTGAACTGCAGGAAAAGTGCTAAAGCCCTGAACAAGCCCAACACAGATCACGTCTAGCTTTGCCCAGACACTCCAGAGCCCAGTGGAATCGCTTGCAGCACCCAGCCGTGCCAGATCCTGTTCGAGGAAGGTGCTAGTCACGGCAGTGGCTGGACTTGGGCCAGACCAGGGAGCAGACGGAGACGCTTGCTTCTTCCTCAGGGAAAGGAATCTCTGCAAGGAACCCTGGAGCAGATGGAGAGGCTGAAGGAACAGTACGAAAAGCTGCAGAAGGGGGTGGAGAGATTAACCAGGAGTACCTCGGACATCCAGGTAAGGGACAATTTGGCTGAGCCATTCTGGCACTCAATGACCTTCCACAGCTTGTGGCTGGTGGGGAAGGAACGAAGCTCCTCTTTGCTCTAATGGGCCACTTCTGTGGCTGCTTTGTTCCTGAGAGCAAAAAGCAGAGTGTTTTCCAGGCTTGTAAAGTGCTGTTGGTTCTGACAGCCCCAAATGCCTGGGTAGGGAGCCAAATGGGTGGGATTTGGGAACACCAGTTGGCCTTATTGTTCCAGAATGTTTGGTTTGCATCTTTGGGGGCATCTTGAAAAAAACCCAAAAGCCCCGTAGAACTCATCTTCTTGCCTGATACATTTATATATATATATTTTAATTGGAATTTAGTAGTTTAACTCGTTCAGGATTTTTTAAAAGTCTGACTGCACGTTCAGACAAATCTTGTTTTTTTCTAATTGAGAAGAGAGTTTGGAAGCCCAAGTGTGCAGTCTAGAGTTTGTGCTATGACTGGAGAGACAGTGACCTCTCAGCTGCACAAGTGGATATCGTGCACACAGCCAGCCTAAACTGAGAGCCTCTGCAGAAGTTAGCTGGAGGCTTCAAGCCAAGAATGTTAACCTTGTTCAGCTCCTGTTTTTTTGTGGGGCTGAGCCCCAGCCTGGACAGTTGTGTTTGAGCACGAAAGACAGTCTGAAGCAGAGTTTTTACTCCCGCCACAGGTCATGCGCAACATGTTAGAGCAGCTGGACATTAAGAAAGCCGATAAGGACTTGATCCAAGAGGAGATGAATGTGGTGAGTCCCCAGGAACTGGGGGAGGAAAAGAAAGTGAAGGAGATGGTCTTTCATCCACCCATATCAGTTCTCTGGTGTGAAAAAAAAAAATTGGGAAGAGAAAACGGGTTGGAGTCTCTGATGAGGCATCTGGTTGGTTCTTTCTGACCTGAAATCACCCCAATCTCAAACAGAGCAGAAATCACAGAGATTCAGGCATGTCTGTTCCAGCATCACTGCTGATTAAGTGAAGTAACATCACCACCCATATAAAGGAAATGTCTTTCTTAAGAAAAAAATGCCACTTTTTCCAGATAGCGGTTGGCACAGGGCTCCTATGCCTTTAAGGGAAGGACGTTCAACTGATCTAGCTTTCTCCTGGGCCTGCGTGCGCTGAGCAGCAGCTCAGGGAGTTGATTCCCTGCCTCACCTTCAGTCATTAAAGCAGCAGGAGCCTTTCTGAAAGCAAAGGGTGCCAACCCCACTCACCCCTCTTCACTTGGGCAGCAGCTGTCAGGAAATCTGGCTACCTTCAGGGAATAGCTAGAAGGTTTTCCCCCTTTGCCTCATTACTTTTCCTGTCCCCCTCTGTCAGCTCCTGGGGGCAGTGAGGACTCATCTTGTCTGTCCCCCAGAAAGCTGACAAGAGCGCGCTGGAGGCAATGGTGAACCACGGAGAGCTGCAGATAGCCACCAGCCAACTGAATGAGATGATGCAGGATCTGCTGCAGAAGATGTCTCTGCAGGACAAGGATTGGCAGAAAGCGCTAGAGAAGCTCTTCGTTGACATGGACTGCAAGGTGACCCCTCCCTGCCCAGCACTCCCCAAGGGACCTTTGCTGCTGCAGTGCACACAGTGGTCCTCCCTGGCCAAAGGGTCTACTCAGCCATCCTTGCTGCCCACAGCTGGACCGGATGGCCCTGGATCCTGTGAGCCGACAGCTGGAAGAGGTGTGGAGGTTCATCAAGAAGTACCTGAGCGAAGGCCCCCGCTTTGATGCTGACAGTGCTGCTGGCTTTAAGAAGTGAGGACTGTAGGGAGGGCAGGGCCCAGCTGGGGGGTTTGCATAGCCTGCTGGAGGTGCCCTCCCACCTGGGCAGGCCGCTCTGTGGGTCTTCAGACCCTGTGGTGATGGAGGGGGTCGTGGTGACCGAGACGTATGGGCCGCACGTGCTGGGAATGCAGCCAGCGCTGGGGCAACGGGCCGCTGATTTGTGCCTTGCAGGCAGCTCTTTGAGAGAGTGAAATGCATCTCCTGTGACCGGCCAGTGACCATGATGACCGGGCCGTGAGTATCCCCAGGGCCTTTCTGGGACAGGCAGTGGACAGAGAAGCAGGCTGCTGCATTCACCTTTTTCTTCTTTGCAGACACATGATCACCGTCCGCAGGGCCACTCTGAGGCCTCGTCCAGCCAGTGCCAATGGCTATGAATACCTGTCCCAGCAGCAAAAACGGTTAGGGATGCAGCTGGGAGTGATGGAGGTGGCTCCTTGGCCTGGGCCTTCCTCACTTTAGGGTCAAGGCTGGCTGGGAACTCTGGGAGAAGTTATCCCTGAACGCCCAGAGGAAGTGCTTCCATATTCTGGCAGGAGGCTTTGCATTCCCAGTGAGGATCAGGAGAGATGCCTCGTTTCACCCCAACGCTGCATTCCCTTTGTTGCTTCCCTGCCACATGGCACACGTGCCTCTTGGGTAGAGACCCAGGAGGACACCCCATCTGCTTGCTGGCAGACCAGGCAGCCCCAGGGTGCTGAGCTGGCCTGTGGCTCCTTCCCCAGGGATCACGATCCAAGCGAGATGAGTGGCAACCTCCCCTTGCAGACCTGCTGGCAGTGCCAGGCCCATCACCAAGCCTGCACCCTCAAGCACCTGTCCCGGTCCCAGGACCTCACCACCCTCTACCCTTATGGGGACCCGACTGCCATCACCTACGACAACGTGAGTCACTGTGAGGGCCTGCAAGGAGCAGGCTTGGGAAGGGGGAGGGAGGGGAGAAATCCTGCCTGCAGGGTCTGCTGGAGCCCATCCAGCAGACCCAGCCGTGGCAGGTGGACTTTGGGAAGAAGCTCTTCAGTGGTGGCCATGCTGCTGGGCCCAAGGGCAGAAAAAGCCTCCCGAGATGGAGGTTCCATCTTGGTAGTGGTCTAAAAGGGACTGACCAGGCTGCTCTCTGGCCACAATGCCTTCCTTTCCCATGCCTGGGGGAAGGCTGCTTTCTGCAGCTCACAGGTGGCCCCTTTTCTTTCCGTACGTCTCGTCTCAGACCGAGGTAGACATTCTGGGGGTGAACGGCGTCCTTTACAAAGGCCGGGTGAGCTCACAAGCGGCAGAGCGGGCGTTCGCCCTGCAGAAGGAATTTGCAGGTGGGTGAAGTGGCCACCTTGCGTGCCAGGGAGGACTGTCAACTGCCCCCCCCCCGGGACCTCCAGATCCTTGGAGAGGGCTTGGTTGCAGGAGGCAGGTCTATTCTCCTGTGAACGCTGCGGCCTGTGTGCCCAGCAGCATGGGTAGCCACGAGGCTAGGAGGAGATGCCCGGAATCTCTCCCCAGCCGCAGAACTGGGCGGGCTGCTCTGGCTTAGTCTGCTCAACCTGTTCCCCAGCATTGCTCCCTGCCTCAAGAGAGAGTCTGGGCCAGCCATCTCCCTCCTCACTAACTGGGCTGTTCTGTTTCCTCCCAACACAGCTCTGAAGTTTCCCCGGCCTCCAACGGGGGTGCGCATGGAGCGAGTCCGTTCCGCCTTTGCAGACATCAGCACCGTGCCCTACCCCCGTGAGTAAGCCAAGCCAGCCTTCCCACACTGCCCAGGCTGCTGCTGGTCGGCCACTCTCAGTCCCTCCAGCCAGGAAGAGCATGTAGCCAGGGTTCCGGTGGTTCCTTTTCGGTGGGTTTCTCCCACTGCACCGGAAAACGAGAAGGGGCAAGCGTGGCAGAGCGGTAAGTTGGTTGGCTCTTGGGGAGGAGTCCTGATCCCCTCTGGTTTCTCTCCTTTCCAGCCTCAGTCCTCCGTCGGGTGGGGTCTGCAATAGCCAACAGCAACCGGCAACCGCCGCAGCTTAGCTGTGACCCTGTGGACAGAACAATCATCAGTGCCACTCTCAGCCACAGCCACGTTCAGAACGGAAGGGACATTCCAGGCCTGTGAGCTCAACTTTCCATGAGCCCAACCTCGTTTCCTCTCTCTTGTTAAACGCATGCCCGGCCTCCCACCCAGACAGGGACAGGACGCAGTATAGGTTGAGGTGTCTTGTGGGGTCCCTTCCTTCCCTCTCAGCTGGCTGTCCGGGCCAGGCCCCTCACCCGACATCCGCTGTGGCGTCTTCCTACAGGCAGCCACAGCTTTTAGCAGACTATAAAGTGACGCCTGTGCCCTGGCATTACCTTCGCTGGAGATTTGGCCATCCCTGCCAGAGGCCAGAGGCTTGCCTAGCTTAAAAGGGGGAGGCTCAGTCCCACGACTCACGTCAGATGTGCAGCAGAACATGGGCCAAGTTGGCACCTCACTCCTTGGTGAGCCGGGATTCCCAAACAAAACATTCTTTATGACGATTGTGAACGCAAGTCCCCTTCCTGCATTCCAGGGGCGAGGCCAGCAGGAGATCTGCCCCGCTGCCCAGTTTGGGTCCTAGCATTTCCAGAAACCCATTTTGACCAACGCGCCTCTCCTCCCCTCCTCCATATGGGACCCCCAGCGGCATTCCGATTCTGCCCCTGTTCGTTGAGTGACAAAATGATTCCATAAAGACGTTCTTTTTCTACGCTCTGCAAGCTGCTGCCTCTTCTCTGCAAGCAGGCAAACGGGCCTGCCCCCCCCGCACAGCAGTCCCTTTGGCGGGTGGTCGGGAAGGGGGAAAGCCCCCGAAGCCCAGTGCAGGAAGGGGGAGCTGGCGGCGTACGCTCACTGGCTGCCTGCCTGCGGTGGAAAGGGATCAGCCCAGGCTGGTGGGCTGCTGCGAAGAGCTGCGGCGACGCCCGGGGGCGTGAAGCCTGGACGCACCACGCAGCCGGAGGCTTTGGGGTTTTGCAGAAGGGTGGGCCGCCTCTGGTGGTCTTCGCGATGCCAGCCCGTCGCACCCCAAACCGCGCGGCTCCCTGGGCAGAGCCTGCCTCACCCTCCTTCCACGCCTGCCAGAAAAGCGCCTCCTTTCCAGCATGGCGTGACGGCCGGGGCGAGGACGCGGCAGCGACGGAGACTGGGGGGCGAGGGGCGCTCGGCCCGTGCGCAAAGGGATCCAACCCCCTTCCCGGGGCCAGGCAGAGCGCCTTGACTCCCCTGGGAGGAGGACTGGCAGGCAGCTGTGGAACACGTTTCCCGTCAGCCCTTGCTTTCCGTGCAGAGGCGGCGCTGCGGCTGGGGTGACGGGGCGGGCGGCCCAAGAGAAGAGCGCAGGCCGGTGGCGCGCGGAGCACCACGGGAGGGCGAGTCATCGCGCCCCTCCCACCCGTCCTCGTCGGCCAACGAGCAACGCGGGCCCTGCCAGGCCGGCGGTTCTGCGAGCGCGCTCCGCTCGCCGCGGGGGAGCGCCCCGGGACCCCCTACGCCCCCTGGGGGTTCCGCCACCGGGGCGGCG